ACATATTTTTCTATTATATTTTTGCTTTTCTATGTTGTTGGGAGGGGGGCATTATGCGTGTGTTGTGGCAGGAGTACTGTATGTATATTTGCATTCTGTTTAAATTTGTCTTAAACTTTTTGCATTTTTATCATTGATCTATCTCCACCCCCCACCCCCCCAAATAGTAAACTTCTTTTTTCTTTATATGACGTGTTCATTTCATTTAAAACTCATTTTATTTACTTTTCTACAGCTGACAACTGCAACAAAAAGATTTTTTTTTCTTTCTCTCTCAATTTGCAAAAAATCATTTTTGGATTTTTCTTTTTGAAAATTCTTTAATTCTGTGCCATAGAATTCTTTCATAGTCTATTAACACGAACATTATTTAAAAATTAAAACTACCCAGAACCCCGTTTTATGAATATTTCTCTTAATAATAATTTACAAATAATTCAGAAGACGATGTTATTTTATTTATGGTCACTGGATTTGTGGCAATTACTTTACTTGGTTTCTATCATTCAATATGTTGCGTCTGAGAAATGACTTGTTTATTGTGGTTGCCATTGCTTCTTTGCCAATATGAAAGTGTAGTATCTGTTCTTATCAGCTTAATCTGATTCTCTCTCTTAACTTCTATCTTTTGCATTTTCTCACTGAAACCAAATAGTGTCTTTCCCCTCTTTCAATGTAATCCAAATGGAATAGTCCATTATTTATGAGTTATTGGCAGGACATAATGGTCAGGCAAAGGGATGAACAAACACAATTATAATAGGATTCTCATTTGTTCCAGGAATTATTTGAACAAGTATCCTCATTTTTGTTGTTTTTAAGAACATTTTAACCAGTGTATTCTCTTCTGTCTTTCAGGTGAGTGCTAAATATTTGGTAATCTTATTGGAATCTGATTTAGAAACCGATCTTTCCCTTCATCCAATCAGAACAATTTTAAGATATTTTTGTATTTCGTTTAACAATACTGTGAACAGTTGACACTGAAATCCAGGAATTGTTATGATTGTGTCGCAATCCTGAATAATATTCAAAGACAACCAAATGGGATTTCACACCTGACCAGAGGAATACATCAGCCAAAATGTTGTGTTCCAAAATCAAAAAAAAAGATTAGACTCATCCAAATAGATGAAACAATAACAATACTTCTCAATATCTTATACAAATGCTTGACCTTGTTTTCTGTTATTTTCAAACCAAAAAGAAATCCTAAATCAATACTTTAAACCCCTAAACTTCATTGATGAAAAGTTCTATGATATAAATCTGTATAATACAGCCATGTATTTCTGAAGTTAAAAACGGAAGAAACTACATCCTTGAGTACAATATGACCCCATAGTATACCCACACCCGATTTATGATACCACCCTACTACATTGCAATTTTCATTAGGTACTATTTATAAAAAATACAAATTTTATTGTAACCTAATTATGTATAATAATGGATCATATGCAATATAGGTGAGCAACTCAACTAGAAAAATTGAAAATAAATACAATGTATCCAGATACAAATTAGAGACACGTCATAATAGATCATTTTATCTTAAATAAATCAACAATGTTTTGCAGCAATTTTTAACATCAATTTGAGATTTTTCTTGTTAAAAAGTTGTGTAATTTTAACACATTCAATATTATGGATAAAAAATAAGGTATTTTGTGTAGTGTTTTTTATGACTTATCATGAGCAAAACAAATTCACAGATTTAAAAAAAAAAAAGGAACTCAGAATGATGTTAAAATCTACAAAAATAATAAATTCACTATCTCCCCATATAAAAAAAAAAAACCTACGAGCATAAATTTGTACACTCTTAACACTGAGTGAATGTCCAAATTACAATAAAAAAGCAATTATAAAAAAAACTAGTACACCATGCAAAACTTAATTCATCCGCAAAACAGATTTTCTATGGTGGACTAAAAAATATAAAACAAACTCTTCCCTAATTGTTGTTGAACGAATAAGATGTTCTGTTAGAAATTTTACTATAAAGCAAATAGCATATGATATGTCTTCAATTAACCCTAAACATATTAATCTTTTATATCGCAATCAAATACATTCTAATTATAAACAGGACGAAAATATCCTTAAATAGCTAATAAATATTAATATATCCACCACAGATTGTAGTAAAAAAACAAAATTAATTATATACTAAATTCAATATATCCAATTTAATGATTCATAATAACTCCTCCCTATCAATTAATGTGTTGCAGAAAACCATCATATATAAATTTAAATGTCCCTTAGGAGATTGTATCTCCAACAGAAAAACTAATGTGCGTGTTGGTCACACCACAACTACGCTGTCTAGAATGTTGAGTTTTCATGTTTTAATTGCTTTACTTTAAGGAATTCACTGTTGTTTCAATTCATCATTAACCCTGACAAATATTTCTCATTCTTTGTGAGATCTAAATTATCTAAAAATATCATTCTCATTTCATAATATATTTCAGATAAATAAAAGTTTTCAAATAAACCAGCCATGTTGTCTAATTTGAAAAAAAGAATTGCTTATTAATAATAATACCATACGGAAAGATTTATTTCAGTTGACAATTCAAAAAAAGTTTTTTGCTTCATAAATAACAATACTTATTACATTTTTCTTTTCTTTTCTTTTTTGATATGAATAAAAAAAAAAGTCCTTAAATTTTCTATTCCTCCTAATTTCAGTTTGTCAGTCCAATTCCAAACTCTATCATATTTTTTTTTTTTTTTTTTCTCAAACCAATTCCACAATATTGGATCAATATTTAATGTCTATCTCAAAAGACATTGCTTTCAAAGCTCAAGGGTTTCACTTTCCTCACATTCTTTCCTTCAAACCAATGCAAAGTTTTCAACAGAACCATTATTAAATCAATATGTCAGCATATGATAAAAGATTTTGTACTATGGTACCATGTTGTTAGGCATTTTTCTATTTATTTTATTTTTTAATGATTTGCGAACCCAAATACTTTCTGGTAGATTTTCATATTTGCTTTGGATTTAATCTTTCCTTTCATTTATTTATTTTTTAAGCTTTGCGTATTGGAAGCTATCAAATATTTTGAATTGACAACCATTGTTGAATAATGACTATGACAGGAAAATAAAAAGGGCAAGATTTTGTGTGCATTAGGAAGAATGAATGAAACAGAGATGTCTATCCTTTGTGGCTCTGTCCTCTCAACTCAAACAGCAACAACATTAGTAAAATATGGCCTAATTGGAAGCAGTTTGAAAAATGGAGGAGGAGGAGGAGGAGGAAGAAGAGAAGGCATATATGTTAATTTGAAGCTTCCAAATTAATACTGATACAAAATGATTCCATAGTTTAAACAGCCCTAATGAAGTAAGGTTGAAATGTTTTCCCCCTTTAATTTCTTTTCTGCTGATTTTTGTTTTTTAATGCCTTGAAACATTATTTTGTTGTTTTTTCTTTCCTTCTTGCTTCAGCAATACAAAAACATCCCTCCTATATGAACCTGTCTACAATTGATTCACAGTGATCAAAGAATTTTTTTTAAGTTAGAAAAAAACAAAACCAATAAAATATTGATGGTTTGCCTCTAATTTCTAGACTCTTTCTGAAAAGAGGATAAAAAAAGAAATTACTCCCCCCCCCCCAAATGGTTTTACCAAAATTATTGAGGCAACAAAAACACTTCATGTTTTTTTGGTAGCCATTTACATTTGCTGCCATCTTGTATTTTGTTTGTCAACTTTGGACTTTTTATTGTTTTTTTTTTTTTTTTTTTGTTTTTTTTTTTCAATAAATCTTATTTTCCTGTTGGGGAGGAGTAAATTTAATCTTTATTTATTCTTCAGTCCCCATTCATTTTGTTTTCTTCCAAAATATCTCTCTCCTTACAAAAGATTCACTTTTCTATTGGAATTGGTCAGCAAAATTGTTATAAGACACAATATTTTTACAAGGTTTCCTACATATATTTTTCATCTGTTTTGTCCCTGAATTTCTGATACATTTGAATATGTGTACATGTAATTACATCATCCTGTAAGTAATAATTGACTTTACATGCTTTTTTTTTGATTTCTTCTCTTATATTCTCTTAGTGTCTTCAGGGAATGTTTTCCTTTTTGCCTTATGAAGACATTCTTCAAAATATTTTCAGCTATTCAACTTTACTCTACTGTTTTTTCTTCATCTGAAAAGTTTTTAGTTTTTTCAGGCTATGATTGTGGATTATTTACATTCCGACTAACCTCTTCATCTTTGTTATCATAATGTTTAACCCTTCCTTCAAGTGCCTGTTGGTTTGAATTTTCTTGAAGGTTACTCAAACTGAATACTTTATTTAATTTACATTTCTATGTATATACCATCTAGTTCTTATTTTTTAATACTGCTTATTTATTGCTCATCCTCTTTCCACTGAGTCCAAATACACACTACCCAGCCCAAGGATGGAACTCAGAATTACACTATCACCAAATTTACAAACCAATGCTTTAATCTGCTAGTCTATTGTCCAAGTATACAGTACCTGGCACAAGGACTGAACTCACACTATATTGTGTGAATTTCTGGCATGGGGGAGGGGCAGTATCATTATTTACATTTGGACTAATGTCCTCATCTTTGTTGTTATTATCATGTCTTAATCATTGTACACTCATGCCAGGAATTGAACTCACAATTATTATTTCACCAAATTTACAAATCGAAGGTTTAATCCACTAGGCTATTTATCATCCCATAATGGCAAAGACCTGATAATAACAACAAAGATGAGGATATTAATCCAAATGTAAATAATGATACTCCTCGTGCCAGATATTCATAAAGAAATGATTGTTTTCTTTCTTTTTTTTTTCCTTTGTCTTTTCTTATTTATTACTCTTTACAAGAAATTCATTATTTTACTTTTGATCTACTGTAAAATAAAATGTTAATCATAATTTTATTGAAATCCTGTCATTATGCCATTTTCTGTTTTTATGACTTGGTTCTTTTCTTTTTCCAGAAAATAAAGCGCCTGAAATCTGAACTTCACCTGTTAGATTGTGATGAAGAAGTAAAAAACAAACACACCATATTCGTTGACAGAGACAAAGATGGTTAGTGAAGCTGGCTCTTCTTCCATGATCATTATCATTGTAAATTTTTAATCAAACCTGAATTTACACTTTTCATACTTGAGTCTAGTATAGATTCACACTAGCAGTAGAGCCCGGCGTTGCCCGGGGATATAACAGTAAGAGATAAATCAAGTATCCACCATCATAAAGACTGAAAAATAAAATTGACAAAGATTATTGTTTAAGGTTGACGGATACGCATGTCTGAATTAGTTGTTTTTTTTTTTTTGTTTTTTTTTTACGAATTGGTCAAACTCAAACAAAAACATTGTTTTCAATCGTTATGAGTCTACCGATTGAATAGAATTTTATTATAAATAATTGTCTTGTAAATGGAATTTTTAAAGCATTGTGAATATTAAAACTAAAGAAAAAAGTGTGCAAGAGAATAAGAAACACTATCTGCCAAAAAAAAAAAAGTTATGTTTTGTTTTATCGGCTGAAAAATATAGGAAATTCGATCCCATATTTAAAGGAACCCACACACACAAACAACCCGATGTGAGTTGTCCCCCTTCCATTTTCACGATGTCTCTTAATCGTGTTTTCAAATTGATTTTGTGCAAAAACAATTATATTTTTCCCATTTTTGGCGCTGTTAGAACCACCACAAGGTAATTTTATGTAGTCCTGGGAAGTTTTGTTGAAATCGGTTGATAAATGTAGGAAATCCGATCCAATATATAAACGTTACAGACACACACACACACACACACACACACAATCTGCGTTTTATAATAAGTAAGATCTAGCAAAATATGTTTTTCACTTTCTCCATTTGCTTTTTGAGCCTATTAATCTGATCATTTTAGTCCAGCCTTCCAGCCTTGACTCCAAGGACACATGGCCCAGTGGATAAAGGCATTGGTTGAAGTATTCCAATGACTTGACCCAAAGACTTATGAGTTCAATACCTGGCCACAGCAGAGGTGAAGAAAAACTTGGAAAGTTGAGTTACTAAAGAGACTTCTGAAAGTACTATGCCTTTTCTGGATATCTCATTTTCAGTTAAAAAGCAGCTTGGCTTCAGTCACTTTCCCATCGCCATAAGGTTGCCTCTCACTGCCTTTTCTGTAAATAGTTTTCATGGTAATTGTTCAGACGAGCTCTTCACTATGGTTGCTAGACTTTTTGAATTTAAATGCGCTATCTACTGTCCTTTTGATTACTCTTTCCACTCATTATTAATGTTTCTGTTTCTAATTCTTCCACATCCTGTAACCCCTTGTGTCTTAGTGACTTTACTGCCTTACATGGGGTGATACTGATTTACAAAACCGAAAAATGTTAAAACCAGAAAAGACATGGAACTAGAACAATCTACCCTGGTGGACTAAATAAAAGGTTCTGTTCAAAATTCCAATGTCTATTACCTGCAGATGGCTGGAGCGTACAAATATGACGACAAAGATGAGGACTACAGTCTGAACAATGTAAATATCTTGACCTTTCATTGTTTTGGTCACTACTTGTCTTTCCAGCCATATATGACATCCACCCTGATATTTAAATTTCTCCTCTTTAATTCAGATAACAAAATGTTCGAAAAGCAGTAAAGAAAAAAAATGATAATTTTTTTGTTCGGATCAAAGTGGAGAGAGTGAATGGTTGTGGGGATGGAGGGCAAATTGCCTGCTGCAGAATAGACAGGCCAAAGAGCCCTTTAGCTAAAACGTGGTCATCCAGATAATAATGTTCAAAATATAGCATCGATTCATAAGGTAATCATTGCAAATAGAAATTAGAAGGAAGAATATTTGTTGCAATATTTAAATATGCAAGGAAAATGGGGGGAAAAAAAAAAAAAAATTAAAACTACTCTAATCTCAAAAAAATTGACATCCATCATAAAAAGAAAAAACAAGAACAATTTTAATTTATTTGTCAAAAAAGACAGACTCTTTTCTTTTTTTAATGATTTCTCTTTATTTTTTTTTTACATTTTACTCTATAAAGATAAATAAAAAAACATCTCATTAAAAAATTTTTTTTTATACACACTTTTAATTTCTAAATTTAAAATCAAATATCAACTTAATTTCTGACAATTGTATATTGGCGTTTACCATACATGATCATTCCTTTACTCTTGCATATGCCTCACCCCCCAAGTCCACACCTTTCTGGATCACCACTTTTGATCGTTATCCCATGACATCAACCGAAATGATTGTCACTCAGTTCTCACATCATTAAGAAAAATTTCAATATGAAAAGTAGCTTTCAAAGATTTCTCTTGCAAACTCTTTCTCCCAGCATAGTCCTTCTTTCTCGTCACCAGGCTTGCTTGCGTCACGAAACACCTGCTTTATGTGGATCGGCAGCTGATAGTTTCTGCTGTGGCCTTCCTCTCTGCTGTAAGCAAGCAACAGAGGTTGGTCGGCTGCTATCTTTAAGTAATCTAGGGGAGAGCCTGTGTCTTGACATGAAAATGAACATCTAAGCCTCTTTTCATGGCTCACTCGATCACCTCCAGAAGGCATTCATCATTTGCTTGGCTTTTCTCATCATTCTCTTGTCAAGTTACAGCGAAAAAGACTTTTCATTAAGGACGGACGTTACTTTGACTTAACTTGCCAACTTTACCAACTCTCTTATTTGCATCAATTCTGCCAATATTTATACTTGAGCCATTTCCAAAATGTAACTCTCATTAAATATATATTCATTACTGTGTGTGTGTGTGTGTGTGTGTGTGTGTGTGTGTGTGTGTGTGTGTGTATATACAAGTTCATCTGTTAATATTGAGCACCTCATTTGCAAAAATCAGCTTGTGATATACTGGCCGACATGTTTTGTCAGGCATAAATGATATTTGTTATATATAAATAAACTCAAATATGGCTATCTCCTAAAAATAACATTTAAAGTGATAAAAAGATGTTGGATTAATAAATAAAAAATCTATCACATTTTTAGAAAAATTTTTTTTGTTTATGTTTTGCAGACAAAACTTAGCTGGTATGAAATTTCAGGAATCTAAAATGAGAAGGATGTGCTTAAAAGGCAGTATACAACGTTGCTTGATCGTTAAAAGCAGTATACAACGTTGCTTGATCGTTAAAAGCAGTATACAACGTTGCTCGATTGTTAAAAAGTAGTATTCAATGTTGCTTGATCGTTAAAAGGCAGTATTCAATGTTGCTTGATCATTGATTAAAAGCACGTTGGATGTAATGACAGTTTCTTTTTCTAATGGGGTGCGTTTTTCTTTAATAAGATTTCTTGAATATTCAGACCAATAGATGAAAACAAATACTTTTTGAAAAATAAATAGTGTGTCTACTCAAATATGGATATCTGCTTTAGACTGTTGTCCTCATCTTTGTTGTTTTTAACTCGTCTCGAAGGCCATTATTTTCACTATTAAATCCTAAAAAGTCTTTAATTTTTCTTTCCTTTTATTTTCATTTTTCAAAAGCTCTACTCAAGTATGTAGTTGCATCTAACAATGCAAAATCTATTTTTATTTTCATTGGCTTTAAGATTTTGGACTGCTGTGTGTGTGGGGGGGGGATAAATTGTCTAAATTACGCAAAAATGAAAATAACACTGACAATTCATTTTAACAGATATATTTACCAAAATTACACAAAAATATCTTTCTTGAACGTTTGGATCACTAACGCAAAAAAAGAGAATGTCTCATATCAAGAATATATAACATCGAAAAACAAAGGAGAAAAAAATTAATTATTTGTAATAATATGTGGAAATCTACACCCTTTACCTAATGATGGTCGCGAGACCGGAATCACATAGCAAAATTATGGAAAATAAAACATAATATTTTTTTAAAAATCCACATTACAACCAAAAACATTTGCGGTTTCTCTATTCTTTTTAATATACACACTTTTCACTCATTGGAACTACTATAAACTCTTCCTTTTATATATATATATATATATATATATATATATATATATATTTCTCTCTATATCATTTCCGGTGAGTTGACTTATTAAATAGGTCAATATCTGATCATTACCCACCTTCCTCACTATTAAGTATTGTAATAAAGATAAATTTATAATTATTTCTATCTCTCCCTTCCCTCTCTGATTTCAACCATGTCTGTCACAATATCTCTCACCACTCTCCATATCACCTTACATCAACTTACTACCCCTTAAAAAATTATATGTAAATTTAAATTTATTTTTTCAACCTTGGAAGTGTGGTCTGATGAGCTAGGGAAAACAAATTATAGCCATGGACCCTTAAAGTTGCCTGTTTTCATTAAATTAAATTAATTGCTCAGATTTAACATTGAGCTCTCAAGATTTCATCCTCCTCGGGATTATCCATATGGATTAACAAGATTTTCATTACTTTATGTTTTTATATATATATATATATATATATATATATATATATATATATTATAAGAGATTATAATATAAATATGTTTATTATAATCTTTATAATAAAAATAATAATATATTGCTCTACTTTGTATTGAGCACTTTTTTAATAGTAAATGTTACGAAGAGTGAAATTTTTACTGCATCTGTTCTTTCTCTCATTTGGAGATATATATATATATATACACACACTTATTTTGCTTATTTATTTATTATTTTTTTGTCCACTTATTAATCTTGTTGGTAAATCCCATAATTGTAACAAAGACTCTCTATTACCAGTTTCCCATTCATTTTATAAATTGGTACATCTTAACCAGAATTGGTTATACACAAATAATTGTTTAAGAACTATTTGAACAGGACATATTACCTCAGCATGGTTAGCAAGCTTTTCTGGCTAGATCAGTTGAGACTGAAAAGTGAGTTTGATCCTCACTAGGTTCCCCATACCTTTGGTCTTGGACAACATATAAGCTATGCTTAGAAAATAACCATATTCAATTCTGATTGGAAACGGTCATATAAGTAGTTTTTTTTTTTGTTTTTTTTTTTTGTTTAACATAAAGCAATTGTAATTGAGTCTGGTTATGCTTGGCAAATTTTCAGATTTTAACCTTTTCATGTCTGGACTGTAACCCTAATCAGTTAGAAATTTCAGTTATTAATTTTTAATAAAGTCATATATAAAAAATAAAAAACTATGGGCTTCACTTCGTCTCTAAAATATGGTTAATTTTTGGACTAATCTGATCCATGTCATGTTTATAAGTTTCTTGCTACTTAAAAAAAAAATTTGAAACAAAAAGATTGTAATGTAAATAGACATTTGATAATGGTTTTAAATGTTTCCTACTAATAATCTTTAATCTTTTGGAAATTAAACACTTTTCATTTCTGGGAAGCACAGTGGAGTAATGAATAGATTGAGGAATCGGAGAGCCAAGTTCAAAATTCCAGTCGAATCCATTACACTCACTTATGTGCTAATACTCTTGAGAAAGGTATGAATCCGCTATGGGTAAATAGTAGGACAGACCGGGTCCTGTAGCCTTGGATGGCAACTGGTCTACAGCAGAAAGAAATGGAAACCTACTGCGGTGGGGGGGAGGCGACATCTGCTTCATCAGTCATATATTGAAAGATAAATGATCGCCTAAGCGTGTATCATGCATGGCACATAACTGACTGATCTAAATATAAATTAAAGACATGTCATTAGAGATCATTCCCTTATAAGTCAATGATGATTTGCAGCAATTTTTAACTTCAATCCGAGATTTTTCTTTTTAAAGTTGAATAGTTTTAACACATTTAACATTATGGATAAAAAATATTGTGTTTTTTCGAGACTTATCATAAGCAATTTTTATTCATGGATTTGGATGAAAAAAAAGATCCCAGAATAACGAAAACATCCCTTTGAAAATATTTCATCCTTTAATAATCAACTGTGCTTAATTTACTTTGTAATGTTTATAAACATAGGTAGAAAAAGGGCAAATGTTGATAAGATAGTAAGGGTCACAAAGCACTGCCCGGGGCCCTCAATCAGGCTCACCCAATCGGGGGGTTCAGGGATAATACCCACCGGTCCTGAGTATCCTTGGTGAACTGATGCTTTTCCGGCATTATAAAAAGAAAAAGAAAAATAGAATGAAAAATTCAGTAGAAAAACAAGAAGAATCCTGATTCATTGATATTTCTAAGAGTTATTATATTTCAAAATGACCTGACGACTATTAACAAGATTTTCTTAACCAGATTTATAAATACATCATTACTCAATCATTTTTTACACACAGAGAAAATGTTACACTTGAAAATAGAAATTAAACATTATTTACATATTTTCGGACTATTGTCCTCATCTTTGTCACCATATTTATCACAATGTTTCGGCCATTGTACGCTCCGGCCTTCATCAGGTGGTTGGAATGTCGAACTGAACCCTTTATTTCGCTCACCGGGGTAGACTGTTCTCAAGGACACATGGCACAATGGATAAAGTCATTGGTTAGATCTAGTGACAGGACCCAAAGAGTGTGAGTTCAATATTCGGTTAAGGCAGTGGAGAACTTTCAGAGGGAAATTAACAGGAGATAACTGATAACTGACATCCATCAAACATGGCACGTGGAACTAGAACAGTCTACCCCGGTGAGCGAAATAAAGGGTTCAGTTCGACATTCCAACCACCTGAAGAAGGCCTGAGCGTACAACGGCCAAAACGTTGTGATAAATATGGCAGCAAAGATGAGGACAATAGTTCGAATAATGTAAATAATGTACATAATACCTCATCTCAGAAATATAGACAGACTCAGAAATGAAACACTTTTCATTTCTGTGATGGACATGATTTACAAAATATTGAGATTTTTATATTATCTGAAATCAGTTCACACTCATATTTTACCTTTAATCATTGGCAACTTTCTTTACATTTCCTGAAAGTAACACTTTATTCTTTAATTTTACTCAAATTATCCATGTGATTTCTGTTTGTAAGTTTACCTCAACACCTAGTGAGAATCAATCACACTCCAGTAGAAAACGATCAGCCAGATAAACTCGGTAATTTGTTGTTCATCTGCAGACATGTAACTCACCCAAATTTGAGATTAAAATTTGTAGAATTCTAGAAAATAATTTCTTTTTAATTTCAGTCCAAAAATTTGATGCTGCTAAACATTTCCAAACCCTCCCTGAATTAGTAAATCGGAGACATAACCGTATCCGACCAGATCAACTTGAACGTATTGATTTCAGCAAAAGTTATTCCTCAGAAACTCTTGAGGTAAGCAAAATTATTTTTTTAACTGCTCCCACCTCACACTTGCTTTTTTCTTCTTCTTTTTTTTTTCTTTTTTTTTTCTTTTTTCCCTTTCTTTTTTCTTTTTTCCCTTTCTTTTTTTCTTTTTCCACTTTGTTTTTTTTTCTTTCTTTTTTCCCTTTCTTTCTTCTTTTTTCCCTTTCTTTCTTCTTTTTTCCCTTTCTTTCTTCTTTTTTCCCTTTCTTTCTTCTTTTTTCCCTTTCTTTCTTCTTTTTCCCTTTCTTTCTTCTTTTTTCTTTCTTCTTTCTTCTTTTTTCTTTCTTCTTTTTTCTTTCTTCTTTTTTCTTTCTTCTTTTTTCTTTCTTCTTTTTCTTTCTTCTTTTTTCTTTCTTCTTTTTCTTTCTTCTTTTTTCTTTCTTCTTTTTCTTTCTTCTTTTTCTTTCTTCTTTCTTTCTTCTTTTTTTTTTTCTTTCTTCTTTTTCTTTCTTCTTTTTTCTTTCTTTCTTTTTTTTTTTCTTTTTTCTTTTTCTTTCTTCTTTTTTTTCTTTCTTCTTTTTTTCTTTCTTTTTTTCTTTCTTTTTTTTTTTCTTCTTTTTCTTTTTTCTTTCTTCTTTTTTCTTTCTTCTTTTTTTCTTTCTTTTTTTCTTTCTTCTTTTTTTTTCTTTTTTCTTTCTTCTTTTTTTCTTTTTTCTTCTTTTTTCTTTCTTCTTTTTTCTTTCTTCTTTTTTCTTTCTTCTTTTTTCTGCAATTAGCTTTCAAATCTTGATATCTTTCTTTTAAATTTATTTATGAATTGTGTGCTATAACATCATAAGTTCTGGTTATTTTGATTTTAAGGTTCAAATCCAGTTGATAGATTCTGGATAGAAATTAAAACTTAAACTGTTAGGGGGTAAAACAACTTGATGACTTTTTTCTTTTTTTTTCCCCCAATATGAACCAAAAAAGGTATTTAGGTTTTATCCAGGAACTTCCACTTTGTGTAATGGTCACTTGTATGTTTGCCTCTCTTGAACACTTTAATCTTAACCTGTTCAAGTCAACAAGCATTTGTAATCTGTTCTCCTTATCCTCATAATCTCCACTTCCTACTACCCTCACTTCCATTCATATCACACACCGTTACCTCCTCCTGAGCCTGACGATAAACTACATCCAGCAGCAAGGCCTCTGATTGGGAAGTTTTGAGGATTGTGGAACCACCTCTTAATTGCTATTGTTCCCAGGTCCACCTTGACCCGGGGTAGTAGCATCTGTTAGGGTCTCAGCTATGGGCAAATAGTTAACCCCCAAACTTGGGTCAAAACACTATGAAAGTATAAAAATAGATTTTTATAGTAAAAATACTAGCAATACATTTTTTTAAAAAAACTTATTACCAGTAATACATTTGACTTTCATCAGAAACCCTCTTTACAAAAATACATCAATGAAACCTGATATGTTAACTGATTTCTTACAAAGAATACATATTCTATTCATATGAACCTATGCTAAAAACCTTGTCAGCTTTAAATAACCCATTGAGTTTGATATGCTGTAAAACAAAATCAACCAAATCAAACCAGACATCATTAGCATTTTGACTATAAGCCTCTATCTTGAGTGACTCTTTAGCCTTGCACTGGGGGAAATTTAGTTTAAAACAAGAAGCTTCATACATTTTATGATTTCATTTTATGCTTGTTTGAAACAACTGAATTTAATTCTTTCTTTTTATCTGCCAAAAAGATTTTTTATTCCATATTTGAAAACAAAGTCTCCCAGTTAAGCTTTTTTATACCTACATAAATCAAACATGTGGAAATGTGACAGGGTTAATCATTATCATTACAGAAAGTAAAATTTAGGTATTTGATTCTGTTGTTCACTTCTCACTGATGCCCTTGGAAAAGGCATGAATCCATCTTCCCCCACCTATGGGTTAAATAGCAGCGCTGAGTGGGCTCTCTTGCCTTGAGGTAGCAACCAGTCTATGAAAAAGAAAACTCTGAATTTAGAACCAGCCTTAAGAGGTATGAACTTTATCAGGTTATCTTGCGATATATCAGGGTTTTTTAAACCTGGGATCCAAGGATGGCTTTCAAAGGGTCAGATAAAATTAACATTTATATTCACTATACAGTCTTTGTCCTACTCAACAGTATCCCCTTGAAAGACATAAAAAATGCATCCTGCCCCTGCTTAAAATAAAATGCCACCCAGCTACTACTTATAGTGCTGACCGCTAGGAGTCTCTTGATTTGCTGTTGGGCCCATTTTTACCATTTAAACATGTGCCATCATTCTCTGCACGACCATCATCTTTTGCCATTGCATAAAAGCAAGTGATAATTCTCATTTAGCATGGCTTGATTATCTTCTTATATACTGATGTGGATTAATTGACTGCAATTTCTTTCAATCATGTGTAATGTATGTGTAGTGTCATGAGGGTGCAGTATGGAGAAATGTTTGTACAAGTGTTGTAAAAAAAAACAATCAGACTTTGTGTATCTAATTGTCTGTCTGTTTATGAAGGGCTAGTTCTTGTAGGGGTCAGTGACTCCAAAAAGTTTAAGAACCCATGCCCTAGATACAAAACTTATGCTATATCTGCAATACATGAGGTGCCTCTACAACAACATGAATTCAAACAAGAGTGCATTCTTTCTTTTCTAGAGTTGTCTCCCCTTCGCCACTGCATTTTTTTTTTTTTTTTTTTTTGAGGGTGCAAAAACATGAACACCTAAAATTGTTATAACTTTCTTTGTATTGTGTGTACAGATTTTAATTTTAACACTAATAAAAGAATGAATGTGTAATATTTTGATGTAATGCATTATCTTTTGCATGCATGTTTTGACGTTGAAAACAAAAAAAATTGAAACCCAAAATAAAAAGTGTAAAATAAAAAAACAAATACATTAAAAATTACATAAATAATTTAACTTTAACTTTTATTATTCCCTGTGGAGTTTTTTTTTGGGGGGGGCAGTAAGAAGAAAAATCACTAAGAAAGCTTTTCTTTTGTCATAAATGTGACATGTTTCCTTGTGTTTAAATACAAGAAAACACAAGCATTTGTTTGCTCTTTCTTTCAACTGACTCACACTTATTTGTCTCATTGACAAATAAAGTTAATATTTTGTCGTTTATAAATAGACAAAATAATTCACCTTCAAAAAGGCTATCGGGTATATTGATGGTTGCCAGTAGCATCCATAAAATTAGTCAGGCATGGATGATAGTAGCTGCTAGTGGTCATCATTGGTTTCCTCAATGTCACTAGTGTGGTTATCATCTTCAACCACTTCACCATCAATATCCACTGTAGTAAAGCCTTCAAAATCATTATCAAAGAAAAACTCATGAATATAAGTTTTGTTGGATATTGACGCAACCATTTTTGTTTAGAAAAAAATCATGAAAAATTAACGTGTGTTTAATTGGTGTTTCACATCATGTAGAATCTAGAAGAATTCAAAATGGCGTTGGAAAACAGAAGTTTAACCTTGTTCCAAAGCAGTAGTAGGCAATTTCCAGCTTAAAATACCAAAAATAATAGTTGACAAGTGTTTGCTTATAGCAACTGTCTTGCAGTCACAGAATGTGTCTAGAGTAGCAAAGGGAGATAACTCTACGGTGACAATTGTCACTTGCAGCATGGTAAAGGTTAATGGCACCCCCAATCCTGTAAAGCAGGGAGCTAAAAAACAAAGGTCCTTCAAAGAAACAGAATGTCTTTGATGTTGTGAATGCTAATTAAATCTCGAGTATTTGAATCGGGTTTGCTTTTTAGATCTAGGTTCACTTGTGTGATAAAGACCAGCATATGGTTGCAAAGGAAAGAACAAAAAAGGATTAAAATTCCAACAGTGTGTATTGATCAATTTCCAAAATGTGTGTGTGTGTGTGTGTGTATATATATATATATATATATATATATATATACACACACACACATTTTGGAAATTGCTTGTTTTTTCTTCTTTTTTTTTGGTCACATGGTTATGTTTTTGTGTTGTAGGCTATATATTTTCTGTTCTTATAGCACCTCTTTAGCCAGTCTGCCCTGACGATCCGCGTAGGTGAAACCTAGGTAGGTTAGTCTGGCTCTTTAGGTTTATTTGCTTATTTTGCTCTACTTTAACATATTGAACACTTTGTTTAGTTATTTTACTTTACTCGTGTCGGAGGTTTTTTCTTTGGACTCTGAACTTAGATTCTAGACGATTATTTTCGCCAGAAGTACATGTTCATGATTCTTTCTTTTTTTTACCCTTTTTTTCCCTTGGGTATTAGTTTGTTCATTCACAAGCTAAAACACCTAAGGTTTTGCCGGACGAGTATAACTGCTTACAGTTATAAGCTTATTAGTATTATATATATATATATATATATATATATATATATATATATAGCTCACTGCCAGTGTATGTAACTATGTGAAAAGGTAATAAAATTGATATGTGGTTCTTTAGTTGCCATTGATAAGGTAAGGCTGGAAGTTAAGTTGACAGATTTGTTGGGTTGGTTAACGAGTCAGGTGATGATGACTGTAGAGGCTTGGAGTGAAATAGTGAAGCTATGTTGTAGCATGAGTGGGATGTTGTTGGCTGAGCTGATCTGTCTATAATCAGTGTTGAAATCGATACCAATGAGGTGTGGATGAGCTGCATGTGATGGTTGTGGCTATTTTTTTTATATCTATGGTTTAACAGGTGCTGGATCTGATGCACATCTCTTTTTTCTTTTTTTTTTTTTTTTTTTTTTAGAACCAATGTTCATGATTGGCTATTGTGTTTTATGAATTTGTTTTGTGAACCAGATGTGATGTTCAGAGTCCCAGCACAGAAAACAACTTAGGGTTTTGCTTTCTTAGTCCTCACATCTGGCTGACATGTCTAGTCAAATTTATTTGATTCAGAAGGAGATCTTCATTAAAGTAGTATCACAGGAACAAGTGGATTACCCTGCTCACTGTTCCTTCTTTTCAACTTGGCGATTAAGTGTCATCTTCATGGACCACTCAGTAAGCAACAAACTCACTATTGGCAACTTGTAAAACTGTTGTGTGTATATATATATATATATATATATATATACAAGTGAAGATTGAAATCAATGCTCAGAGGTGACAGATTGTTTCATGCTAGACACAATCGTCAGGCTGCTGATTGCGTCTAGCATGAAACAGTCTGTCGCCTCTGAGTGTTGACTTCAATCTTCACTTTCATATTTATATTACATACGCTCTATCTCTGATATTGAGCACTTTATCCCCTAAATATAGCACACCTTAAAACTGTATTTTTTCATATATATAGTTTGTGTGTAATGTGAATTCTAAAGGGTCAAGTTTTGAGGTTGATAACAAGCCGAGGAGAACTGTTCAAACAACCATTGTAAAATTAATTTTTAGCCACAAAATATTTTGGCTCTATTCTTATAGGTTTTATAGTTTTCTCTATTACAGCAAATCTGTTTAAATTTAGCACTGCTGTAAATATATTAATTTTTATTTTCTATCATTTTGAATATTTGAAATAAAATGAAATTTCATCTCCTTTCATCCTTGACAATTTTTGGCTTGCAGTTACATGCACAAGTAACACCTGGTCCTTAAGCAAAAATACTTGAACATAAAAGTCATTCAAATAATAACCGTCAAATAGCTTTCTTTCTTGTAACACTTCTCTTTTTTTTTTTTTTTACTCTCAAAATAATTGAACCCAGATTGTACCCATGTCTATCAGATTAGAAAAGTCCGAAAAAGCATGTGTCCCACCTTCCATAAC